GCAGAGGAGTGGACTGAGGCGAGGAGTACGTGAAGCCGAAGCGCTGAAGGACCCGCTGCACCATGTGTGACTGAGTCAGGGTAATGGTGCGGCGTGCTCTGTCCCGGGTGATCCGCAAGCCAAGATAGCTTGTCAGTTCACCCGGGTCTGTGCACGTGTGTCTCTTCTGCAGCTCGGACTTCACGTGGGCGAGTGCGGCAGTGTCCGCAGTGGCAAAGACCAAGTCGTCGACGTACACGAGAATGTAGAACGGCGGCAGTGAGGTGTCGGTGCGCAGAAACAGCGACGGGTCAGCAGTGGAAGGAGCAAACCCAAGAGCCGCAAGTGTAGTCCTCAGTGTGTTGTGCCACTCACGCGGCGCCTGGCGGAGACCGTAGACTGGCCGCCGGAGGCTCCACTGGGTACCAGGAGGGAACGACCCAGTGAAACCAGGAGGGCGGCGCAGCCAGATCTCCTCGTGCAGGCGGCCCTGCAGGAAAGCAGTGCTGAAGTCAAGAGAGTGTAGCTCGTAGTCACGCTGAGCAGCGACGTGCAGCAGAACCCGAAGAGTGGTCATCTTCGGGGTGGGGGAGAAAGTCTGAAAGAAGTCAACTCCCTGTCGCTGACTGAAGCCACGAGCCACGTAGCGCGCCTTGAAGACAGGCGGAGAACCCGGCGGCCGCTTCACCCTGAAAATCCACATGCCACTGACAATGTTCGCCCCAGGAGGGGGAACAGCGTCAACGTAGGTGCCTGTGGACTTCCAGGAAGCCATCTCTGCGTCCATGGCTGACTGCCACTGAGAGGAGTAGGGACCGGCCATCGCCTCTGCGTAAGAGCCTGGGGTCGGGATGTCTAGAGCATCCGGGTCTCCCTCAGGGGCAACAAGCATGGACACGAGATGAGGCAAAGCGGCGGCAAAGCACTGGAACTCCTCCTGCGTGTCCTCAAGGACGTCCGTGCCAAGAGCACAGTCACCCCCGACGGACGGAGGACAGGCAGACGCGGACGCAGCAGACGCAGACTCAGCAGACTCAGCAACAAGACTGGCAGCGTAGTCGAAACGACACGCAGCAGCAAAGTCGACCAGCTCCGCGACTAGGGCAGACGCACCAGCGGAATCAAAGGAAGGGTCAGTGACAAGAGAAGCAAGAAGACGCGTGACAGTAGGACTGGCAGCACGGCGAGAGTCCGACTCCGGGTCGGCAAGTGTAGGAAGAGAAGACTGAGGAGGAGAAGGCAAAGGGGCACGCAGAGGAGCAGTGGACAGACGCAGAGACATCTGGTGCGTGCCAGGGACAGGAGGAGGACGCTGACGCGAACCGCGACCACTAGGGCGAGCAGCTCGGACTGGCGACGCAGGGCGGGACGCAGGCTGACGATGCTCAGCAAGACCTCCAGTAGGACCAGTGTAGGGAGAAGGAGAAGGCAGGGGAGAGGCGGGCTGTAACTGTGACTGCGACGGGACAGGCCGTGGACACTCTACGGGAGGAGAAGGACCAGTGGAAGGCGGGAGACCAAGAACCTGCTGGAGGAGCGGAACGAGGCCGAGGCCGCGCAGCACCGCCAGAGACAGCACGGACAGCACCAACACCTCCAGAGGCAGCACCAGCACCAGTAGCAGCTCCAACTCCAGTACCTCCAGCAGCGCCAGAAGTACCCTCAGCAGGACCGACAGTCGTAGTCTCAGCGCCAGCACCCGCAGCAGCTCCAGCTCCAGAGGCACCCCCGGGCCCGGCAGCTCCAGTACTCTCAGTACGAGCACCTCCGGGACCCGTGGTACCAGCTCCCTCGGCAGCAACAGAAACTCCAGCACCCGCAGCACCCCCAGCTCCAGCAGCGCGCCTCCAGCGCCTGGCAAACCACTCACGCAGCTCCAGAGGAGAGAGCGGCTCGCGACTCGAACCACCAGGAAGAGAAGCAGCAGGCGCAGCACTCCTAGACGCAGTACCCCCAGGCTCAGCACCACCAGGCTCAGCACCCCCAGGCTCAGCACCCCCAGGCTCAGCACCCCCAGTCGCAGCACCCCCAGGCTCAGCACCCCCAGGCTCAGCACCCCCAGGCTCAGCACCCCCAGGCTCAGCACCCCCAGGCTCAGCACCCCCAGGCTCAGCACCCCCAGGCTCAACACCCCCAGGCGCAGCACCCCCAGGCTCAGCACCCCCAGACTCAGCACCCCGAGGCTCCGCACCCGTAGCTGCACCAGAGTCACCAGTGACCTCGACAGGCTCGACCGCGTCTACCTGAGACACACCTGAAGGGGCAGGACCCTGAGGGGGGAGGGGGTCTACCGGGGGGGGACCTGGGACCAGGAAGAGGGGTGGTGGGGGAAGGGAGGGAGTGCGGTAGGGGAATAGCCGGTAGAAGGGAACCGACTCGTCGAACGTGACGTCCTGGGAGGACAGAACACGACGAGAGGTGGGGTGGTAAAACTGCCACCCAGGTGCGTCAGGGGGGAAACCAAGGAAGACGCAAGGAGCAGCACGAGGGGACAGCTTGTCCGCAGACAAGTCGCGGACAAACGCCCGAGATCCCCAGACACGGAACGCCGACGCATCGCCAACCTTCCCCGTCCACAGCAGAGCTGGGGAGGTCTCCGGTCGGGAGACCCTGGGCTGAAGGTTGATCTGATGCGCGGCGTACCTCACCGCAAACGGCCACAGAAAATGGGGGGCAGCCGCATGCACCATGGACGTACGGGCGACGTCCATGACCATGCCGATGCGGCGCTCAGCAATCCCATTCTGCTGTGGAGAGTCCGGAAGCGTGAAGGTCTGCCGCGCTGCTGCTGCTGCTGATTTCGCCGCTGCTCCTGCTACTGGTGCCGCCACCGCCGGTGCTATTGGTGCCGCCGCCGCTGCTGCTGCTGATGCCGCCGCCACTGCCGGTACTGGTGCTGCCGCCGCTGCTGGTACTGGTGCCGCCGCTGCTGCTGCTGCTGCTGCTCCACCTGTGCTTGTCCGCCCTGTGCTTCTCACTCCACCCACCCGTTGCTTGTGCCACGAGAGACACAGGGAACTTGGGACAGCGGGAACGACCGAAGACACGGGATGCTAACGTGGAGGAAGGAGAGGAGGAGAGAGGAGAGAGGAGAGAGGGGGTTGAGAGGAGGAGGGAAAGCAAGTAGAGAAGTTGATGGTGGGATGATGGTGAGAGGCGGGAGAGGCTGGCAACAGTGAAAACGATGACGGTGGCTTGTGGCACTGGCCGAAAGGGCAGCAGTGTGTGGGGCGAATGATAACGGCAGTGGCAGGCATTGAACAAGGAACTGTGCTGACACCGTAAATTGCCGAGGAAGCTGGGACGGTCGCAGCAGAAGCAATGGGAGGAGCAGCAGCAGCAGTGGAAGGTGTGGTGGCATGGCTGCAGCGGTGTTTCGTTTTCAGTAAAGCAGATGAAGGGAGATGAGGAGAACAACAGACAAGATTCACAGACAGTACAAGGAGAAAGCGAAGGAATGGCCACCCCACCAGACGACGACCTTACACGGCTGACCCAACAGAGGACCAGAAGGAATGTCTGTTTCAGTAATGGCACAGACATGCCTCAGGCACTCTACTAGACTTGCTCTCACCTGAGGCAGCTAGTGGCTGTACTTTCGACCCCTGGTCTTCCGGTCTCATACACCTAGCAGCCACGACAGCAGCACCAGCAGCAGCCACAAGAAGACACAACGCTCCCACGGATATCCCCACAATTGCAGAGGTTGGCAAACCGGTGGAGGGTGGTGGAGCAGGAGGAGGGGCGAGCGAAGAGGAGACGGCAAGAAGAGAGGAGAGAGGGGGAGGCGGGGGGATCATGAGAGCGAGGTTGGGAGAGAGAGTAGGAGTGAGTAGAGGAGGGGGAGGAGGGTGGCGGAGTTGGCCTGTGGGAAGGGAAGAGGGGTGTGGATGGATGGAGGAATTGTGGCAGGGGAGAGCAGCTGTTGTGCTGGCGAACTGTGATGCCAACACGACCATAAGTTGGCATGATGCATGTGAGATGGCATGATGCATGTGAGATGGCGATGACCGTCAGATGGGCATGATGGCAGTAGGATATCACTTGCACGAAGGAACATGAGGTGCAACCCCATGTGAACTATGACACAAGCAATGCAAGAAAATGGAAGAGCGAGAGAAAAAAAGAAGGAAACGTTTTTACTGTTGACTGGAATGCATGAGGCACAGAACTCAAAGCAGAGAGCCCGGCAGAAGTAGGAGGCGTTCTGCTGGATCTCACAGCTGCTGCCAGCCCTGCCGCATGTCACCCCTGCAGGGGTAAATCTGGAAAGAGCAATGCGGTGGATAGGGGAGTAAAGAGGGGTGGGTGTTTGGAGTGTTGTGGCAAGGATGAGTGGCATAAAGAATGTGCATTCTGTAATTTTTTTTTTTAACGCCAAACGCTTTCATTTGATTCGACTGGAAGAAACAAAATTCTGTGCTGGTGATTGCACAGCAATATGTGTGTGTCACATGTTTCCGTGTGAACCATGTTTGTGGTAATACACATCCAGTGGCGTGACTGTGCGTCTGTGGTTCAATAAGCTCGTTAGGGTTCTGGTCAGCTCATTATGGTTCTGGCCAGGTCATTATGTTTCTGGTCAGCTCATAAGCTTCTAGTCAGCTCATTATGGTGACGGGAGGACCACGTCTAGTATTTGTGCACATGGGACATTGGGGATGTTAGAATATATCTCCTCTTGTAACCTGCATACATGTCATGAATAGGCTAGAGATAAGCACCCAAATAGAGTTTGGGTGTACAAGCCGGGGTAACCCAGTTTGTAGGTTGGAACCCAACCTTGGTCCAATTATTGGACCCCAAAAGGTTGGGTTGGGTAGAATTATTGGCTCCCTCCAATAATGTTGGCCCAACCCCAACTTGGCTAACATTATTGGACCCCACCAATAATCACCCAACCCAACTTATTGGTTGGGGTCCAATAATGGCTCCCTAGACTAGTGCCCAACCCCCAACTATGTATACCTCTACCATTTTCAATCCAATCATTCAGTTCTACTCTAACCTTCATTCCCCACATGGTATGGAGCTCACTATCCTAGGCCTCCTTTCGTTCCAAAGGCCCACCTGGCCGCTGCAACCCCCGGCCTTCATTTTTTTTTTTTTTTCCGGCTCCTCCGCCGTCTTCCCCCTTCCCCCCTTAGCGCCCTCCTCTTTCCGTGGCCTTATCCCCGCCTCCGCGCCCACCGTCGCCGCGGCCTCCCCAGCCGCCGCCTCCCGCGCCGCTCCCCCCCCCCCCCCCCCCCCCCCTCACGGCCTCGTCGCCGCCTCCGCGCCTGCGCCGTCACGGCCCCACCATCCGCCGCCGCCCGCGCTGCTCCCCTCCGCGGTCTCGTCGCCGCCTCCGCGCCCACGCCGTCGCGGCCTCGCCAGCCACCGCCGCCCGCGCCGCTCCTCCCCGCGGCCTCTACGTCGCCTCCGCGCCCGCGTCGCCGCGGCCTCTCCAGCCACCACCGCCCGCGCCGCTCCCCTCAGCGGCCTCGTCGCCGCCTCCGCGCCCGCCTCGTCGCGGCCTCGCCAGCCGCCGCCGCCCGCGCCGCTCCCCTCCGCGGCCTCGTCGCCGCCTCCGCGCCCGCGTCGTCACGGCCTCGCCAGCCGCCCCCGCCCGCGCCGCTCCTCTCCGCGGCCTCGTCGCCGCCTCCGCGCCCGCGTCACCGCGGCCTCACCAGCCGCTGCCGCCCGCGCCGCTCCCCTCCACGGCCTCATCGCCGCCTCTGCGCCTGTGTCCGCCGTGGCCTCGCCAGCCGCTGCCCTGCTACCTCGCGCCGCTCCGCGACCTCGTCGACACCTCCCCACGGCCTCCGCACCCACGCAGCCCCACCAGCTGCCCCCATCCGCAGCCGTCCCTCATGGCCACCTCCATACCCTCCCCCTCCCCCCTCCCTCCTCCTATCGACATTTCCTCCATTGATAAACTCCAACTTGCAGCCGACAAATCTGCCATTAACTGGCACTCGTTCGTCGGCAGCATCCGCCGAGTCCTCAACGATGCATGGATCCACCCCTACCGCGTCCTTGACGTCATCCTCCGCCGCCCCCATGCCCTCCCCCCCACCGAACCTGACCACCCCGACGAGACCCCTCCTCTCCCTCCTCCTCCTGGCGACCCCCCCCTTGAGCCCGAGCTCCAGATCACCGCCGACCAGGCCACCGCAGATGCTGATTTCATTATGCGTCGCCGTGCTTACCTGATCCGCAAAGCCGAATACGATGCAGCAGCTGATGCCTACGCTCAGGCGGTGGCTGGCCGCACTGCTCACCTCGCCATCGTTGCCAAATACACCGACGATATGGCTACCTTCACCTCCAAGTTCATCGCCTGGTCAGCCGCTGACAACCGAGCATGCACTGTCATCCTCGGTGCTCTCCCTGACTCCCTCATGCGCCACTTTCAGGCCCGGGAACTCCGCGCCTCGGTGATATGGACAGAACTCCATGCTATGTTCGAATGCCGCGACATCAGCTCGGTGGGAATCCTCTTCTAGGAATACTTTTCTATGACCCTCGCCACCTGTGACGGAGCAGTAGACTATGTCGGCCGCATGTGCGAGGTAGCCGATCGCCTCGAAGCCCGCCAAGCCGGCCTCTCCGAGCCCCTCCAAATCCATCGCCTCCTCTTCAACCTCACCCCTAACTATGAATCCCGCCTTCACGCCTTCACCGTAGCCAATCCCATGGCCGATCTCGCTTCAGTTGAACAGTGGATCATTGATACCGAAGTCAAGCTTCGCACCCCCATGGTCAACCTCACCTCCTCCTCTCTCAACGCTACTCAGCCCCGCAAGCAGGGCAAAAGCAACGGCAAGGGGGGAGGTGGAGGCAAGGGAGGCAGCGGCCAGGGAAGCAGCGGCACAAGCAGCCGTGGTGGCTCCACTGGGGATGAGCACGGCACCCCCAGTCAGAGCGGTCCCTCTGGGAACCACGCCCCCTGCCCTGGAACTCTCCCTCCCTGCACCTATGTCCGTCGCTACGGTCCCCAGGCAGGGACACCCTGCGATCAAACCACCCATCCCCCTAACACCTGCTTCAAGGCTCTCGATGATGCCTGGTACGCACGGGGCAATGTCGGCACACCTCCCCGCTGGGGTACCATCTCCCCACGTCCCTCCCCTGCTGACATCCAAGCCAACCCTGCCTACCTCCCAGCCCACCTCCGCCTCCTTGCTCCCCCCACGCCATTCCTCAACGTGCAACAGCAACATCTTCCGCAGCAACAGCAGCAGCTGTTTCAGCAGCACCAGCCGCAGCAGCAGCAGCAGCAGCAGCCGCAGCAGCAACTCCTTTGGGGACCCGGGCTCCCACCCTAGTGGGCACCCAGCACTCCCCCCTGGCAGCAGCAGCTGCTGAACTTTGGCACAGCAGCCACAGCTACTCAGACCTCCCCTGCTCCCCTGTGGGGTGCCCCACCTCCTCCTGGTAGTGGTGTCTCTCCCCTCACCCAGGAAAGTCTTCTTGGCAACATTGCGCTTTCCCCTTCTCTTCCTTCTATGTACCCCTCCACCATTAATGAAACCACTTTCCAGTACTAGGTGTCTCCCGCCTCCTCCCCACCCACTCTGGACTTTGTCCTTGATAGTGGGGCCACTGAGACTGCTCTCAAGGATGCTGGTACACTCTCACCCCTCTCTCCTCCCACTCAGGTTCACGGTGCTGACAGCAGTTTCACCATCCCATGCACACACCTTTCCACCCTTCCATGCACAATCTTCCCCTTCGGTAAGGAAACTGGTCTCCACATCCCCACCCTCCGCAACAACCTCCTCTCCCACCGAGAAATCCAAAATTCAGGTATCACTGCCGTCTATCCAGGTAATACCACCTACTGTGACCTTTATCACACCGCCACCGGCCGTTTCCTCCTCCGCATTCCCCTCTGCCCCCGCACTCGCCTCTACACTCTCCGCACCCCTTGGCCATCATTTTGCCATGTCACCACTCGTGCTAGAGATGAGCAAAGGGCGAACACGAACATGTTCGTCTTCGCCCCTTGTTGAACACCCTCTTTTGCCGAACCGAACACTGTTCGGTTCGGCGAACAGTTTAGGAAAATCCAGGTGTTCGCTGTTCGCCTGTGGAGGCGTGTTCGGGCGAACCTCGAACACTGTTCGGCGAACGATTTGAGCTAAAAAACAAAACCTGTTTGGTTCGCCTCGAACACGTTCGAGGCGAACCGAACAGGTGTTCGCCACCTTGCTCATCCCTAACTCGTGCTGGCACCTCCAATAACCCTCCCCATCCCCCCACCTCACTGTCAGATGATTATATATTGCTGATGCATATATGTAGGCTGTAGTGGGGTAGCCCACATGGGGTACAACCCAATTAGGGTTGGTACTTGTACTTGTTTCATTTCATAGTGCATCATTCCTCGCCTCTATCTCAACATGGTATCGAGCAGGTTCCCCTGTGGGAACTGTTCCTAGGGCCCACCTACTATTCCGTCCTGCCCGGAGCGCGCTCTGCCCTAGCCCGAGTCGCGCTCGGCTTTTTTTTTTTTTCCTTTGGCGGCCCGATCGCGTCGAGCCGCCCGCGATTTTTTTTTTTTGGCGCGCCACCTACGCGGCCTTGTCGCGCCGCCCCTAGACGGCCGCGCCGCGTCGCGCGTGCCGCCCTCCAGTCGCGCGCCGCCGTCCCCTCTATCGGCCCCTCTGCTGCGCCTGACGGCCCCGCCGTCCCCTCTGCCGGCCCCGCCGCTGCACATGACGGCCCCGCCGTCCCCTCTGCCGGCCCCGCCGCTGCTTCACACGGCCCCGACGCTGCACTTGACGGCCCCGCCGTCCCCTCCGACGGCCCCGCCGCTGCACCTGACGGCCCCGCCGTCCCCTCTGACGGCCCCGCCGCTGCACCTGACGGCCCCGCCGTCTCACCTGACGGCCCCGCCGCTGCACCTGACGGCCCCGCCGTCCCCTCCGACGGCCCTGCCGCTACACCTGACGGCCCCGCCGTCCCCTCTGACGGCCCCGCCACTGCACCTACCGGCCCCGCCGCTGCACCTGCCGGCCCCGCCGTCCCCTCCGACGGCCCCGCAACTGCACCTGCAGGCCCCGCCGTCTCACCTGCCGGCCCCGCCGCTGTACCTGACGGCCCCGCCGCTTCACCTACCGGCCCCGCCACTACCCGTGACGGCCCCGCCAATGCATCTCCCGGCCCCGCAGCTGCATCTCCCGGCCCCGCCGCCCCAGCAGCCGAGCCGCCCCAGCAGCCGAGCCGCCCCAGCAGCCGAGCCGCCCCAGCAGTCGAGCCGCCCCAGCAGCCGAGCAGCCCGAGCCGCCCGAGCCGCCGAGCCGCCCGAGCCGCCCAGCAGCCGAGCCGCCGAGCCGCCCGAGCCACCCGAGCCGCCCGAGCCGCCTGCACTGCCCTGTCTGGTGAGCACTGAGCTTTCCTCTGCGCACTGCCCTCGCCCTACTGCTGTCATGGCTACCCCCAGTGTCCTCACCTTTGACGCTGAGGGCAGAGCCATCGACTTTGACGTGTGGGTAGACGACCTACTGCTTTTCCTACACTGCGACAGAGCTGACGGCCTCTCTCTCTTTGATCTCACTTCTGGTGCCTCTCCCGCCCCTGCTGCTACTGAGGATGCCACTGTTCGCTCACAGTGGGCCACACGCAATGCTGCTGCACGTCTTGCTGTGCGTCGCCACCTCCCTCCCTCTGAGCGTGCACACTTTGGGTCGTACAAGAGTGCTCAGACCTTGTACGACGCCGTTATTGCACGCTACTCCACCCCTGCCACTGCTGCACTGAGCCGCCTCATGCTACCGTACCTCTTTCCCGACCTTGCTTCTTTTGCCACAGTCGCCGACCTCATTACCCACCTGCGCACTAGTGACGCTCGCTTCCGCGCTGCGCTTCCTGCTGAGTTCTGCGCCAAGAACCCCCCCCCCCCAGTACTTCACTCTCTACTACATTGTCACCCGCCTCCCTGACTCCCTTCGCGGAGTCAGGGACGACTTACTCTCAGTCTCCCCCACCACTCTCACTGTTGACCTCCTGGAGAAGTCCCTCCTAGCAGCCGAGAAGAGCATTCTCGCTGTAGGGGCCTCTCGTGGTGACCCGCGCACCCCCATCTTTGAGGGGTGTTCCCCCTCCCCCCTCCTGCCCTCTGTCGCCTCTGCTGCTACGGCCGACCTAGTTGGTTTTGAGTCGGTCGGTGCGGCGTCTGCCCCCAGTGGGAGACTTCGCTCTGGCAAGGGCAAGGGGGGCAGGGGCGGTGGTGGAGGCGGCGGGGGCGGTGGAGGCGGAGGTGGAGGCAGCGGAGGAGGTGAGGGTGGTAGCGGGAGTGGTGGCGGGAGTGGAGGTGTCAGCGGCGGCAGTGGAGGCGGGGGCGGCAGCGGCGGTGGTGGTGGGAGAGGAGGCGGAGGCGGCGGTGGCGGCGGCGACGGTGGGAGTGGCGGTGGCAGCGGAGGTGGTGGCGGCGGCGGCGGAGGAGGCGGCGGCAGAGGTCGTGGCTCGTCGCGGAGGAGTGGCTCCGGTGGTGGTCAGCGCCAGCAGCAGCAGCGTGGTCAGGAGACCCTCTCCCCGCAGCAGCTCCGTGAGTTGTACGCTGCACGTCAGAGGGGTGGGGGTACTGGTCCGTGCACCTACGTCCTGCGCACTGGCGACCGTGCGGGTGAGCCGTGTGGTGGTCCACACTCCACCCAGCGCTGCTTCGGCCGCCTGACTGACGCTTGGCGCCGCCAGTTTCCTGACGCCTCTGAGATCCCTCGCTGGGACCAGCTGTCTAGGGCAGGAGTAGCTATCTTTGATCTTGACTTTGATGCTATTCTTCGTGCCATGTATGCTGTGACTATTAGTGAGGAGGGTGACTGTTACCGGTGTTTCCCGCCCGACCCGGGCATTGGTACTACGGCTCTAGGTGCTGTTGAGGCTGCTGCTCCAGGTGCTGTTGAGGCTGCGGCTCTAGGTACTGTTGAGGCTGCTGCTCTAGGTGCCAGTGAGTCTGTGTCCCCAAGTGCTGGTGAGTCTGCTCTCTCAGGTACTGCGTCGGCTCCGCCCTCTCTCACCTTCACTCTTGACTCAGGAGCGTCTCGCTCCTTCTTTCGAGACCGCACCACACTCACGCCGCTTAGTCGGCCAGTGGTAGTCTCCCTGGCGGACCCCTCTGGGGGTCCTGTTCTGGCTCGCTACTCCACTGTCCTTCCGTGCCCTGCGGTCCCGTCTGGCTCCCTATCCGGTCTCTACCTCCCCTCGTTCTCTACGAACTTGGTGGCGGGTGCTGACCTACAGGATGCAGGGGTCGACCAGTTCACCCCTGCGCGCCGACGGGACACCCACTGCACGGACGCGGACACGGGTCGATGCTTGACCACGTTCACACGTGGGCCGGGGTCGAGCCTGTACACACTCACTATTCCGTCTCCTCCTCCTGCGTCTGGTCAGGTAGCTGCGTCGGGTCAGGTGTTTGCTGCAGCGTCCAGCTCTGGTCCTGAGTTTGCCCCCTGCTCGTGTCGCCTCCTGTCCCACGAGACCCTCCTGTGGCACCACCACATGGGTCACCCCTCCCTGCCACGTCTCCGGGGCATGGCCTCTCGCCTTCTTGTCTCTGGTCTTCCCCGGTCCCTCCCTCCCCTTCCTCCGGGGCCTGGCCCTCCCTGTGTCCCCTGTGTCGAGGGTCGCCTGCGGGCTACCCCTCACTCCTCCCCGTTTCCTCCGACGGAGGCCCCGATGCAGACGCTTCACATGGACGTGTGGGGCCCAGCCCGCGTCCGTGGACAGGGTCACGAGCGCTACTTCCTGCTGGTGGTTGACGACTACTCGCGTTACACCACAGTCTTCCCCTTGCGCACCAAGGGTGAGGTCACTGAGGTGTTGATCGACTGGATCCGCGCAGCTCGTCTCCAGCTCAGGCGGAGCTTCGGCTCGGACTTTCCTGTTTTGTGTCTGCACTCGGACAGAGGCGGAGAGTTCTCCTCCGGCCTTCTGCGAGCCTACTGTCGGGCGCGAGGCATCCGCCAGACCTTCACGCTTCCGGACTCTCCACAGCAGAATGGGATTGCTGAGCGCCGCATCGGCATTGTCATGGACGTCGCCCGTACGTCCAAGGTGCATGCGGCTGCCCCCCATTTTCTGTGGCCGTTTGCGGTTCGGTACGCCGCGCATCAGATCAACCTTCAACCCAGGGTCTCCAGACCGGAGACCTCCCCAGCTTTGCTGTGGACGGGGAAGGTTGGCAATGCGTCGGCGTTCCGTGTCTGGGGATCTCGGGCGTTTGTCCGCGACTTGTCTGCGGACAAGCTGTCCCCTCGTGCTGCTCCTTGCGTCTTCCTGGGTTTCCCCCCTGACGCACCTGGGTGGCAGTTTTACCACC